GTGGCTCTATATGAAGGGACCAGAAAGAAGACAACAGCAACCCTAGCCAGCAGCAGCCTAGGCCACCCCCACACTAACCAATGGTCTGGGTATCTCATCAATGACAGCCACAAACATTGCAGTTTAGAGCAGTGGGTGGAGAGCTGGCCAAGTGAGGCCGCACAGGGACACGCAGCATGGGGCAGCCCTGCCTCCTCCCAAGGCTCCTGCTCTTGAGTAAGGTCCAGACACACCAACCTGTGAGAAGAGGGGCAGGCCGTTTCCTCAATGCCACCTTCCTGCTCAGCAGCCAGGCCACAAGCTAGCTCTGCCCTGCAAGACTATACTATCTGTGGCGAAGGCCCAGACTCCACCCAACAGCCTAGACCTTTGGAAGCATCTGATCCCAAATATAAGAACAATAGGGACACAGCTCCCAAAAATATCCACCTCTTTTCTCCCCCTAACAATGGCCCTTAAGAGCTGGGAGCAGTGCTGGTCATCATTTTGACCCACTGGTCAAATCAACCTCCCTAAAAGGCACACACTTTAGAACCACAGAGAATGTCGGGCGTGGTGGTGCACACCTGTATTCTCATCACTAGGGAGGCAGAGGCTGAGGCAGGAGGATTGAGTTCACTCAAGACCAGCCTGGGCTACAAAGTGAGCTCAAGGCCAGCCTGAGCTGCATAGCAAGACCCTGTCACATAAATAAAACAAAAAAAAAGAGACAGCATGCACAGGCATGCCTGCTCCCAACACAGGCAGGACTCTGTAGAGAACCATGTCCCCGAGGCCCAGATACACCCGGAAACAGCCAGTCACAACCCACCACCAATCACGGACCTGATGCAAAGTGCACCAGGCATCTCGGGAACCAACAAAAGAATCCACAATCTGCAGAACACAGCCCAGGGACAAGGTCTGTGTACACTGGTCAGCTGGGAGGTCAGAGTGACAGAGAGTTGGCCCTTCCCAGGCAGATCAGATCTAAATAAATGGCTGCTGCTAAATGCGGATGCTGGGCAAAGGCAGGCAACATGGCATGTAACAGAAACACAGGAGGGTCCCCCCAGCCATCCAATATTAAGATGTTGCATGAAGAGCTAGCCCTAGACAGTACCCTATGACACAAAGTGCATCTGTGCTCCCACATGCATATGTATGCATACACACAGCGTGGCATACACAGCACTAGGACTGCTACTCTACCCAGCAGAGGGGTTCCTGGAGTGCTGCCCTGCAGGTAGACAGCTCCACTGCCAAGTCAGTACCCATTAGAGACCCCACTTCATTACCTCTACTCAGGCTGCACTACTTGAAAAGGAAAGACCACTGGACGTGGTGGTGGAGGTCTACAATCCCAGCACCTTGAGGGGCTGCAGCAGGAGGATCTAAGTCTGAGCCCAGAGTGGGCAATGTAGCAACTTAAGAAGCCCATCTCACAGTAAAGTTTTTAAAAGGTAGGGTTTGCAGCAAAATACTCAGCCCCTCAATTCAATCCCCAGTATGGTGAATAACAAAAACAATTAAAAAGAAGACTATCACTGTGGTCTTCAGTCAGTAGCAGAGTTTTGAGCTCCCCAAATTTCTCAAAAGTCCTGGAAACAACCACCTTCAGTGAGTTTCACGATGTGGCAGAAGCCCGGTGCCCAATGCCCCAACGCCTGCACTGGCTGGCCCCACACCTGAAGGCCCCCTCCATGCAACCTGCAGATGGCCAGGCCACTGCTGCTGAAGCTGACCACCAAAGCAGCAGCATGAAGAGGCATCAATCCCACCATGACGTCTGTCAAATCCAGAAAAGGAAATCACTCAGCCCTGGCTAATCACACACACGAGGCAAACCTTACTGGCTCCAGGAAAACCCTGGCACCTTCCACCTTCACAGGACAGCTGCACCCAAACCAGGCCAACTTCCTGACAACAGCTGCACGGTGAGGAAAATGATCAGATGGCTGCTGACCAGGCTGACCATGCTGTCCAAGGCCCTGGGACCACAACACCATGGACAGCTGCATAGTAGGGCCTTGCCCTGCCAGGATGCTCGCCCATCTTGCTACATCCAGGGATGACAATCATACTATTTCTAAAGGAAGTCTTGAAGCTGTCACCCTCAAGTGTCACAGGTCATCTGGGAGCCAGAGCCATCTGGGAGCCATGCCTGGCTCCTTATTCTCCTGGAGTACAAGACCATGACCACCAGAAGCCATAGCCAGCTGCTCAAGAAGCCCCCTTCTCCATGCAGAGACACTTGGAGGACATCTCAGAGGCCCCCGAAGGTTTCAGGCTGCCTTAATTTTGAATGTGTAGCAGACCTTACCCCCAACACTCTGCCCCTGGATCCTCTCCTCACTGACCTCCCCTGAAGGGCATGAAGGGCCAAGGGTGAATTCCCAGGGGATACTAGGAAACTGTCCTATTTTTCCTCCCCTTCATCTTCCATGAAATTCCCTGGCGGACGTAGCTCCCTAGGGAACTGAGCCACCAAGAAAGAGGTCAAAGTCTGCCTTACGGATTCTTCCAGGAGAAAAAATCAAAACTGTACATTTTATTCTTGAATTTTTAATCAGCAGGGCCAAGGACAAGCATCCTTCTTTGCCAAGGCAAACACCACTCAGAACTGCAGTTGAGGCGATGCAAGGGCCAAAGCAAACAGCTGAGCTGCATCGTGGGGTGACACTGAGCAGGGCCACATCCTAGCTTTTCCAAGAGGCGATGCCAGCACTTCTGCAAGTGCCAGCCCGGTCACAGGAGCAGCCCGTAGCAGGGACCCACAGGCAGCGTGGTCCCAAGAAAAGACAGAGCAAGGTGGTATCTGGACTGGCCCAGATCTGCACACAGTTGACTCGAGCTGCCTCCTGACTGCCTCTGTGTAGGCTGGGTTTCTGCCGGGCCCACACACTAAAGCTGCCCAACCTGTACCGCACTGTGAGCTTTCCAGTGACACTACACAAAAAGGTAACAGAGCACAGGACTCGACTCAAAGACTCAACAGTCAGGCCTTCAGGACAGCACAAACCCCCTACCTACCAACCAACCAACCTTGGACAGTAGAGGCTGTCACTAGGGGAGGAGGAGCCCCAGAGTAAAAGCGCTCTTCAGATGCCTTCGGCCTGCTTATGTCCAACCCTCAAAGCGATCCCATCAAGATCTCATCCGCACACCTTCCACAGGCCTAACAAGTACAAAATATGGAACCTGTGTGTTTAGTGTAAACCTCAAGCCTGCCAGACTTTGGCCAGAGAAGCGAAAAGTGCTCATGCACCCTGATCTGGACAGTTTTTCTGCCACCACAATGAGTCTCCCTTCAGCCATCCAGGTTGATGACAGCTGCATACCAGTGAAGCTGCAGCGCTGTAGCTTCAACTGCAGGTTGACTGCCAGCCTCGGGGATGAGAGTCATTAAGGATGCCCACGGGATTCCCCAGAGCAATGCCACTCCACACACCCATGAGCCTCACTGTGAAAGTTCCTGTTTAATGGTTTCAATGCAGAAGCAGGAAAAATGAGGGAAAAAACGGCTGTGACCAACACTTCTCTTCCCCCCTCCACAATAACGAGCAAACTGTAATGGAACTAATGACTAATAATTTAATAAACCTCCCTCCCTTGACAGCATGTGCTTCCACAGAGCAACAAAACCAGCAATGTACACATACGCCACAGATTCTACAGGATACTGAACATAAAATCCTAAAGGCTGTTCCCAATCCTGTTTACCAGCAGCTTCAACATGGCTTCAGAGCCTCCTTAGCCCCCCCCCCCCCACCTTTGGGATTCCTCCAGACCCACTAGCCGCAACTTTAAAGCCCTGATTAAAAGCTGTATTAAAGTCTAAGCTGCTCCCGGGACTCCTGCTGAAACCAAAGGGGCCACCCCGAAGCTTCCATCTGGCCGGTGGCAGCCTGAGTGAGCCAGTTAAGAGGTTTCACAGGCCACTGGCTAACAAGACACAGCCATGGCTGGTTAACACAATTAGAAACTGTTGCTCTGAGAATGGGTCGCAAGCCCATTCAGCGGCCATGAACCAGCAACTCCGTGTGAATACCGGCTACTCTAATCGTCAGCCTTTCTCTTAACCTTCAGACACAGTTGTGAAAGAAAACCTATCTTTGTAGACAGACGCCATGGACCGGCCAGGGCAGGGATTTCTCTCTTGAAAAAATGCCCCGGGGAGCTGCAGCCTGCCCGGTGCCATCCGGAGCAGGGCTGTGTGGCTGGTGATAGGGGCCTGGACTGTGAGAAGGGAAGCTGGAGAATAAAAAACCTGGGGCCTGTCCATCTGTACACAAGGCACAGACATGCCTGGGAGGGGGTGGTGAGTCGGCTTCCAGGGGCTCTGCGGTTGCTCCGTGGGAAACTGTCATTTCACAGATGAGGACGTGAACGCGACTCCTAACACATATCAAAAGCAAAGGCAGGCGCGTCAGCCTCCTACACAATTAGTCTTCTCCCTCCGCAGTTACATAAGATGATGGATTATCTGTCCAACCATCCAACCTGCCCGTGCTCCACCTCGACCTCCCACCTTGGGCCACGTCCTTTACACGGGGAGCGAGTTGTGGAAAGGGAAACCCTGTTGAGAAGGAAGTGCCCAGAGGCTGGCATAACCGCCCGTGGAAGAGCCCCACGGTGCCAAGGCGCCAACTGGACTCCGGGCAACGGGCGACGGCGGCCTGTCGCCCCCACGACGCCCGCCACACTCAGGTCCGCCGCGGCTCGGAAGGGACTCGAGGGCTCGCCGGCCGGACCGAGCGCGGCTCCATTTCCTACACTCCCGGGAGGCGCGCAGACCAGCGAGCACGCGGGGGCCGAGCAAGCGCCGTCGGGGTGGGGGCGCCCGCCAGAACGGGGGGCGAGGCGGGCCGCGACGGGCGGAGGGGGCTCGGGCGGGCGCAGCCACCTGTAACTGGCCGGCGCATAGCTCGCCACGCTCGCACCCCGAGGCCGGCAGGAAGATCCCGCTAGGGCCCCCGGTGCCGCCTCGGAGGCGGACTTAACCAGGAGCTGGAGCTCACCTTGTAGACATTTTCCGTGAGCCGGTGCATCTCCTCTGAGCGTGACAGCGACATGGTCTTGGGTCCCGGCTGCACCACAGACCAGAGCGGGGGAACGGCCGGCCGGGGTAGGCAGCAGCTGCAACTGGAAGTAAAGACTCGCGGATCCGAACCACAGAGCGCGGGTTCCGGCGGCAGCCAACTTTATAGTCGCGGTAGGCCCCGCCCTCAGCAGACCCCTCCTCTCTCCCCGCCCCCGTCTCTCCCGGATCACCGCCCCCGGCTGCCCGCCCCCACCCAGCCCCGCCGCTGCTAGGCAACCGCCAGGCCCGCTACAGCGCCGCCTTTCCCATTGGTGAGTTCCGGGGGTGGGGGCGGAGGGCGGGCTTAGGGGCGTGGCCCGGGGGTCAGCTGCCTGCGGCGATTGATCGAAGGAGCTGTCGATCCTGGAAAGCAGGCGGAGGCGCGGCGTGGGCTGGGGCCCCGGAGCAGCCTGAGGGGGCCCGGCGACAGCCGGGCTGGGGGCGGGGAGCGGGGGCGGGGTGGCGCAGGAAGGAGCAGCAGAAAGTGGGGGGAGGCGCGCGGGTGGCGCCGGCGCGAGCGCGCGTGGAGGCCGCGCTTCGCGGGACGGCACGCAGACTGCCGGCCCGCTGGGGTCGCGGCCTGGCGCTGCGGAGAATCTAGGAGTCCGGCTGGGAAGGTGGGCGGGCAAGTTACTCCGCAGGTGAGTCCGCAAGGCGGGCAGCTACCCGGCAGGCCTTCAGGGAGCCGGGAGAATCGCACCAAGGACCCGATGGGGTCCTGCATCCCAGGACGATGACCCGGGCAGGGTGGGTACTCACGCGGCTCGGGGAGGTAGGTAGGAGCTGGGTAAGGTACTTAGATTTAGGGTTCAGATAGGGAAGAGGGCCCTGAGGGGATCTGTACGGTGGGGGTTGGGTACAGCATTCTTCCGCGAGGACCCGGAGGGGGAGAGACCCGTGGGGCTGGGAGGGGTGGCGCTAGAGGGAGAGGCGCTCTGGAGTAACGCGACCACAGCCTTCTTGTGTTAAGTAGGGTCCTCAGAGATAACTAGACAAGCACACCAGGTTCCAGTACGTTACCTTTGGAGAAATATTTACATAAGTTAGACGGACAGAGAGGGATTATTTGCTTTATGTTGTAGAACACCAGATCTGAATGTTTTCTTAATTAAGGCTGACACTTTTCTCCGGCATCCCATTCCTGGACAGCCGGCCACTCGTTCATTCCTTCTACAAGAACAGGCTTCCAGAGAACACAGATCCACGGGGCTGCTGTCAGATTCGAAGACAGACAGCAGGAAACTCAGGCAAGTCCCCATGTGCTCTGCTCAATCTCATGCAGAGAAGAGAAAAGGGAAGTAGGATCCTGGAAGAAGCTTGAAGCAGCAGCAGCTTGCCTCCTCTACCTGGTTTCCTATCCCTCTGGCTGCCCTGCTGGCCACCTCATTTTAGTTAATGCCCCACATTGTCTTTCCCTATGTCCCTGTGCTTTCTCTTCTGGGATTCTTTTGGTTCCAAATAACAAAAGACCCAGCTCAGTCTGACTCTCACAAATGAAGAAATTTATTGACCCAAGAGAGTAGGAAATCTTAAGCTTTTCCTTTCTCCTTTTTGCACTCCCCTGGGCCAGTGTGGTGCGCTGTACACTCTACTGGACCACTGAACATCCCGGCCTTTGGAGAAATTCTTCTGAACTCAGCCAGCCTCCCAAAGGAAAGTTAGGATCAGGGATCCAGAGCCCCGGGGACATAGCTCAGTAGAATAATAAGTGCTTGCCTGGCAAGCGCAGGGTTCTGAGTTCAATCCCTGGTACCGAAAAAAAAAAAAAAAAAAAAAAAGGATGGGGGATAATCCAAGTGACAGGGGAAAGCTGGCAGCAAAAACTGGAGGTCTCTTCACTTAGGTAAGGGAATTAGCCTGAGGAGAATTTCTCTCCAGGTCTTGGTGCTCCTCCCTGCAGCCACAAGATGGGATGGGGTGGGGTGGGATGGGGAGGGGAGGGAGCCCATCCCAAAAAGCTTACTTGGTCCTGGCCTGTTCCATGAAGTTTCCCTGGGACTTTCCTGAGTCACTGTGCCCTTGATTGCTGTGGGCATGCTCCAGGGGGGTACACTCACCTAGTGTGATCTGACAGACTCAGTCTGGCCTGCCTTCCAGCAGCCTCCAGCCTGGGCCTACCTGTCTATCTGGCAGCAGGCCAGGAGGTTAGAACAAAAGCCTGAAGGGAGAAGAGGGCCTTCAGAACACTTGGATCCATGAAAACCAACACACATCGCACATGTGAACTAGCACTGAGAAGAGGCACCATTGACTGATGGTGGGTCTGGGCAGAACTTCCTAGGAGTGGGGGGCAAGGAGGAGTGCATGGGGCCTGCCTGCTCCTGCTTTGCACCTCCAGGAATATGTGTCTGCCTTTTCAGCTCTTGAAGGGAGAGGTCCTGGCCCTAGGGGAGATTTGACCAGCCACCACTGAGACCCTTCTGCCTTAAGCAGCAGCTCTTTTTTTTTTTTAATAGTGGGGCGTGGATACCAACAGTATGAGCTCAGATCCTGAGAGTGGACAGGCAGGCTGGTGGGCTGGGTGTCCACAGACCAGCCTAACCCGGCCTTGAGGTGGAATCAGGCAGTTGCCCTGGCCTAGGCCCTGTGAGTTTTGGAAACATCACACCTTTTGCAGACCCCACCTCATTCCTGCCTCTCTGACTTTTCTGAAGGCCGGGCAGTCAGCATGAAAGAGACTTCACCCTCACCTCTCCTGCGAGACTGTCCCACCGCACCCTTCGGACCCTCTGCTTCTCCCCCATTAGAATCGCTTCTTCTGGCTCTGTGCTGGGGGCAGGGGCAGAGTTTGCGAGTCCAGGTTCCTAGGTGGTGCTGGAGCTGATGTCTGCAAATGAGCAGCTCCTCAGGAATCACTAAGCACAGAGAAAGACGAGAATACATATGTTGTGGCTTTCGCTCCGCCTTGTGAATGTCCTTCCTTGGTTGGGTACTGTGTTAGGCAAGAGGGATGTAGCCATGGAGATCTGTGGCCCCCCAGCTCTGAACTAGAGGATCCAATGCCCCTGTTCCAGCTTCAGGTCCTCCACATGCAGAGTGGTGAGCTGGGGCCAGTGATGGGATGACCTCATAACTAGACCTGACCCCCAGCTCCAATGCTGACCCCAGGTCAGCAGCACCAGTGGGCAAGTCCAGGGAGACAGGCTGAGGGAAGGTGGCACCCGCATGCAGTAGCTTATTTTTAGTTGCGTTATGTAAGTGGCTTCGTCTCAACGTCATGTAGGAAGGGGGGGGTCTCAGATTTAATTACAGGATGACAGCCTTTGCTTTTCAAGCAAGCTGTTCTCCTGGCAAGGCAGGCACAAGGATTGTGAGTTTTCACTCAACGCAAGGAGTCCATCCGTCAAAACTTAAACCTGTTTTACCCCTCTTTCCCTCTCTCTCTCTCTGACCTTCTCACCTGGCTCTTGCTGAGCTGGCCTAAGAGAGTGGCCCTAGGTCTGGGAACCCGAGACAGTCTGTGCCTGTCATAGGAGCATCTGTACTCACTTCCTTGGCAGTTTTGCTGTGTCTTCAAGGGAAGGAGCCACTCAGGCGCTCTTCTTTGCAGGTCCTGGATTGAAGCTCTTGCAACCAGGAAGTCTCGGAGCCGAAGAGAGTGGAAGGCATAAGAGCGGGGTTCATGTGGGCTTCTGGGGCAGGGCTAGGAGGGCAGGGTCTATCCTCTCTGCTGTTCCTGCCAGCCCTGGTCCCTGGAAGGTATCTGTCCACACTACATGGGACGCTACTTTCCTGGTTCCTAGTGGTGCTGGATGGCTTACTGCCTGGTTTATGCCCTGGGACCTACCCAGTTAGGAGTCCTGCTCCCTGCCTGCACAAGGGCTATCATAGCTGTTTTGTCCATGTGTAGAGCAGGACCATGGCTCCACGGCATGCTGTCCCCTATAAGGAATAAAGAGAGGGTGCTATCTGACTTGGAAGGGGTTGTTGAGGAGTCAGTTCTGGGGGTTAGTTGCTCCGGCATGGGCAGGACGGGGCTGCTGTGGTTGCCGGGCTGGTTTCGCAGTGCCTGAGAAGTGAGGTTCAGCTGCAAAATAATGTTGGAAGGAGACAAGGTGTAAAGGTCCTCAGGGGCTCTGGCCTGAACCCCTGATGTGTTTTAGAGGGTGCTGTCCTTAGACTGGATGGGGCCTCTCCAGAGAGCACCCAACCGCTGGCCAGAGGCTGCCTTTTCAAAAGTGAAGGTCCTGGGGCGGTGGAGCCCACACCCCCCTTCCCTGTGTGCTGTGCACAGGCAATCTTCAGGGTGCGCAGTAAGGAAGAGCGGGGAGGGCAGCGTCCCAGTGAAGAACCTCATCACTGCCCACTTCATGGCAAAGGCCAACACCAGTGAGAGGACAAGGAGACAGCAGGCTCTGGATCCCATGGACCTGGGGGTGCTTTACCTCTTTGGTCTTCCTCTCCAAAACCCTAAACCCCAGTCTGATCATGAGAAAAACATCATAACTGTCCAGGTTACCAAAGACAAGAGAAGTCTGAAACTGGCAACCAAGAGGAGAGAGGACAACAGTGGGAGTCTGGGTAGGACACTAGAGAAGTCTGAATAAACTTCAGTCTTAATGACAGTGTCAGTTTTGTTGTTGTTGTTTTGGGTTTTTTGCTTTTTTGTTTTTTTTTTTCTCCTGGCAGAACCAGGGATTGAACTCAGGCCCTTGCTTTTGCCAGGCAAGCGCTTATTCTACTGAGCTATCTCCTCAGCCTGACTGTGTCAGTTTTGAGTTAACTACACCAGTTGCACCACAGCCCTTCTAGGGTGTGTGAATTCTTTATTTGTTTTGTTTTTGAGACTGGGTCTCTGTAGTGCAGGCTGGCCTTAACCTCATGGTGATCCTCCTGTCTCAGCCTCCAGTACCGAGATTAAGGTATGTAACTTTTTGTAGTCACTATTTGTATAAACCTGAAACTATTCTGGGATTAAGTTCGTTAAAGAGGCAGAGGTCTGCCGCACAGGCCTTCCCGGGTGTGGAGGGGAGTGCCTTGCCCCTCCCTCCCGTCTGTTGGGCCCTGCATTGCCCTTGCTGCCCACTAGGGGCCCCCATGGAGCAGTCTGGTACAGTTGGTCAGAGAGCACACTAGAGGTCTGTGCTTTGCAGAGGAACCAGATCAG